TCTGGAGAGCAAGCTTCCTCTCTCACCTACAAAACTCACCCTTCTCCCTCATTTTCTCCCTTTTGGCAGATTGTTATAACACTTGACAGAGCCTCTGTCAAGCTGCCAGAAAAACACTTAAGCCACCCATTCCCATCTCTCTCCACCAAACCCTCCTACAAACTCCTTCTCTTCTACCTTAATACCTCCCTTTTTTCCCAGAAACACATAGCTTTCTCTTCAGTGCTAAACTCATGACAACTTTGCTTCCCTGCCACAAGCCTCTCATGCCAAGCTAGAAAATTTATCTGTAAGTTATTGTTATTTTCATTGGTGAAGGTAACCGAGGTGTTTCCTAAGGCTATACTACCCTTTCGAAGCATTCTTGGGGCTTAATCTTCGAACTCAGACACAAGGGGGTAATTCCACCAAATCGCTCCTTACGGTGGCCCAGCCCATTTATAGCTGCCAGAAGAAAAAGACCCCTACACTGGGTTTTGCTATTAACAAAAGAGAGATGGGAGAATGAGATGGCTTTCGCGACAAAGGGAGAAAGAGAGTGGTGTTGCTCGTTGACCGTCGATGGAGAGATAAACCGCTCATAGAGGAAGAGAGAACTGTGAGAGAGAGCTGAGACAGAGAGAGAAGTCAGAAGTGTTAGGTCGTCAATCAATGGCCAATGCGTCGACACGTGTCTCGCCCTGTCTGTTGGTCCCTTACACTGAACCGAGACATCATGACCCATGTTAAAATCCCGCTCTTTGTGTTGCTAATCTCGGTTCGATAGTTTGTTTTTACAAAACTAAATAATAATAAAAAGCTGGAAATGAAAACAAATTGTGGGTCGGGTTTCACTTTAGTTTGGATTTCAAAGTGGGTTAAATTCACCGTGGTTTGTGTTTCGAAATTGTGGGCTTTGGGCTTCAAAAATTTGTTTGGGTTTCAGAATTGTGTGATTAGGGTTTACTGTTTCATTTTTTTTGTTTGTTTGTTTGTTTGTGTTGTAATTTTTATTTTATAATTGTTTTGTTTTTGTTTTCTTTTGTGATTTTGTGATTTTTTTTTTATTTGCTTTAATACCTTTCATTTGTTGTTATGACATTGTTTGTGGCTAATTTTTAAACATTGAGGACAATGCTCATTTCTAGGTTTGGGGGTATTGGAGTTTAGCAAGTAAACTTGGTTTTTCTTAAAAAAAAAATTTAAAAAAATTTAAATTTCTTTCTTGTTTTGAATCTTGTTTTGTTTAGTCACTTTCCGAACACATTTGATGAGATTGTGATAAATGTTTGCATGACTTAAATAAAAAATTGAATTTTATTTATTATTTATTATTATTTTTTTCCCTTGTAAATTTTTATTGTAAAAAAAATATATAATTAATTAATTAATTAATTTGGCATCGTTCTAGCATGACATGTTCGAAACCTTCTTTGCACTTGCCTTTTGTTTCATAATTTTCCAATTAAAGGATTTGCATGACCCAAAGAATTGTATCAAGCATAAATTAGACTTATATAACCATATAATGTGAGCTTTTGAGCCTTGTACTTCATTTCATGAGTGTTATATACACATACTCTTAATTTCTTGTCATCTAAGTTGTTGTTTGATCTCATTATTCATTGATTTGGTTGAACACTTAAAAGTCATTCATTCTTATGCAATTTGATTTCATGACATTTAAAGAAGTGATATTAAGGCCTTCTTTGGATCGCTTAAGCATGATTTTCCATTGTTAACCATTTTGAGCCTACATGTAAACCTTTTCTTTCATTTTACCAATTATATTTCCTCGCCTTAGCCAGAAAAACAAATATTTACCTTTCTAAGGAATTCATGAGCTCTAATTCGGATGTATTTTTCAAGCTAAGTTTGGGAAGGGATATTACATCAAATAAAAAAATAAAAAAAATCACACAATTGGTGAAAGAAAAGAGAAAA